AGAGAGAGAGAGAGAGAGAGAGAGAGAGAGAGAGAGAGAGAGGAGACACAGAGATATAGAGAGACTGAAATTTTAGCCTGAGGAAGCCTTCAGACCTGAGGGTCATGCGAACAGAAGCCATGCAAGTATCTAGGGAATAACATTCCAGACAGAGAGAATGCAAAGATAAAAGCCCCTAGACAGGCGCAATCCTGGTGTGCTATGAGGGTTGAGACAGAGTAGCAAAACTGCAGTTCACTGTCAAGAGGTGAAGTCAGAGGAAGAGGAGGGATTTTTTGTATTTATATGGGGGTGGGGCTGGTAATCAAGGACCTCAGGAGGTAAACATGAGGAGAGAATGAAGACCAGTCCTAGCTTCCAGGAGACGGTTTATGTCATGAAAGACTTGCTCACTGAGCAAGGAGACAGTGCCTGGAAACCATGGAAGACAGCAGCTTGGAGATGTATCTTGGAAAGCTCTCCTGAGTATTCAAAGCCAAGGAACAGGGTCAAGAAAGAGAGGGAAGGTGGTGGTCCCACCTGCAGCAGCAGCTCCAGGCAGCCACAGAGTCTGTGTAGCTCCGCGCTGGTGTCTGTCACTGGCCCCTGCCCGTCCCCATATCCCTGCAGGATGGCAGAGACAGCATCTGCAAGGAGGAGGGTAGACAGCAGACATCAGGGAGCCTGGCTCAAAGAGGATGCTCTCCAGACCCCTCACTTCTTCTGCAGCTCACCCCCAGAAAATCTGACAGGGAAGACTCACTTTTCAGGTTCCCCGTGATCTTTAGGATGGCCTCCTCTTCTGACATGGAGACTGGGAAGTGATGTGATTCTCTGTGATCCTCTGGGTTCAGCTGCCCACTTTCCTTATGTAGAGATGGGTGAGAGTCCAGAGTTGAGGGAGAATGAGAACATACTGGGGTCACACAATGAGTTCACCAGCAGGATGAAAAACAATTCCTTCCTCTCTTTCCCTTAAAAAAATTTTTTTTTAAAGAAGGGTGGTGGTGGTGCACGCCTTTAATCCCAGATCTCGGGAGGCAGAGGCAGGTGGATCTCTGTGAGTTCAAGGCCAGCATGGACTACAGATTGAGTTCCAGGACAGGCTCCAAAGCTACAGAGAAAACCTGTCTCAGAAAACAAAACAAAACAAAAAAATTAAAAATAGTTTACTGAGTATATTGCAAGGAATCCAAGTTACTTCTTGAAGGCCAGTGTATAAAGATATGAATGTGGCCCCCACTTATCAGTTCATGCCTGGTGTTGGTCACCCTGATCAGTGCTGACAACTTTACCTCATTCACTTCCCTTGGTAGCCTCCAGAGTGTACGGCTACACAGGATGACCGGGCACAGAAAGCGTAAATCTCAATCCAGTATCAAAGCTATAAGCTGAACTCAGATCCATTTACTTGATATTAGCAGAGTGCTGAGTGGACACCCGGCTGGAAAACTGTTACCTCTTGAATAGCCCTTGAGCCCCAGCAGTGTGTCATTGCCTTGAGACCTACATTAATCCTTTCCAGGGCCCCAGATGAGTGGAAAATATGTGTTCCCTGGGGAAAGCAGCAGAAGTACAAGTGCAGAGTTGGGACTGAACCCAATGTTGGGTGTGAGGAGAACGGTGGCTGGGTTACACCCGCCATCCTCTCTCATGGGACTCTCCTTCTGCCTCCAACTGGTCCTGGGACTCAGAGAGGGGCACTGCTGCCCTTGAAGGATGATGATGAGCTTAGGCAAAGATACTGGCATCAAAGTCAGGTTCAGGACGAAAGCCCAGATATCCAGCCTCCCAGGCAGCAGTGATGGAGTTTGTGGGTGGGGTAGCAGCCTTATGGCAGTGGACCACAGGAGGAAAGGAGAAAGAAGAAAAGACAGAATAGGAGAGTGTACAGGGCCCAGGGATGGGAGTCAGAGGACACAGGGCTACCCTGGACTTGTTGCTTACTCACTGTGTGTCTTCCAACAGTTTACTCTTTCTCAGACCCCAGGTTCTTCATCAGTAGACCAAAGATTAGACAGAAGTTCTCTATGGACCTTCAGGATTCCTCAAGCCCATACCCAAACCCAGGGATTCCCCGTGCTCACCTGGGAAAAGCCTGCCTGGTTGGGGTGTGGGCAGTAGGGTTCTGCAGCCTGAGTATGTCCCTTGTGACTGTGGACTCTGCACAGCCCTTCCCAGCTCTCCTGCCTGGGGGTGACTCAGGCCCAGCCTGGAGAAGGCTGGACCAACCCTGGTCAGGGAGAAGTAGCAGAGGAAGATTAAGGGCTCTGAGGCAGAAGAGTGGCTCCCTCAAGCTGATCCTGCAATAGGGCCAGTTGGTGGTCAAACAAAACCAATTGAGGTCTCCTTTCCCCGGCACCTGCTCCTGTCTTTCTGTCTTGTTGCCAGCAGATGGCGGAAAGAGCCTGGCCGAGGCGCTACCGTTTCTCTCTGGCTGTTTTCCTGTCACTGGACTGGAGGTGTGGGTGGTACAGGTGGAGAGAGGACAAACGACCACCAAGTGTCTTCCCCTCTTCTTTACTCCAACCAGCTGAGCGATCCTTGTCAGTGTTGGGGTGCCTCCCAGCCCTGGTGCACACTTCCCGGGGACGGAAGTGAAACGTCCAGTGCAGCGCCAGGTGGGCTACTCTTGTAGGGTGGCCTCTCTTCTCTGACCTCGCTCAGCTTCCTGATGCTGGGGCCATCCTTTTACTAGGCTAGGCTGGGTTGGGGGCTGGTCCTGGTAACTGGGAATCGAGGGTTAGGGACTTCTAGAACTACTTTTACAAGGTAGACGAACCACCTGTTAGCAGGGCACTAAGCGATCCCCAAGCCTGCTGTTCTCTGTTCACTTCTTCCCGGTGCAGAACTCGATCCCCCAACACTCGTCCTCCCTGCTGCCGTCTCTGTCACCCACAGATCCCTTTTCTGATGTCGGTCTCTCAGTCGCTCTCTTTCTCGCGCTCCTCGCTCAGCCTGTCCCAGGGACTCCGCTGTCGCCCATCCCGCGTTCCGGCTCCTTCGGGTCCCCTCCCCACCGTCTGCCTCCTGCGTCCTTGTCGCCGCCCCTCGCAGGGCCCCGCACTCCCACTGCCTGGCAGAGCCACAGCGGAGGCGGAGGCG